AGGTTTTAAAAAGCATCAAAAGAAGGACTAAAATTGTCTTCTGACTTTACCCTTCAAGTGCTGCTTGTTCAACAAGAGTTACTCAGAACAAGAGTTATACAGAAAACCAGAGAAAGACTTTGCCAAACACAGAGGGAAATACCAGGGAAGTTAAAAACTGTTGCCGGGCAATGATGCACGCCTGTAATCCCAGGGGCTCAGGAGACTGGGGCAGGAGGATCACAAGTTCAAAGCCAGCCTCAGCAACTTAACAAGACCTTGTCTCAAATAAGAATTTTTTTTTTTAAAGGGTTGGAGATGTGAGTTGAGCACACCTGAAGTCAATCCCTGGTACCCACCACCCAAAAAAAAAATTGCTGATATTTGAATCTCCTTGGTCTCATAAAATATTGACACATGCACAGGGCCTTTGGGTTTACACAGAAAAACCAATGAATAATTCATTGTGGTTTTGGTCTTAATGTTTAAATTAGTACTTTTATTAATAACATATCAATTCACCCTACTCAGAACTGAAATCTTCCACTAACAGTTAATATTGAAATATCTAACCTTGCTCTGAACACTAGAAAACAGCAGAGAAATGATATAAGAGGTTCAAGGAAAAGTGGGATTTCGTAGCCAAGATCAGAAAATGAGAAATGGAGACAGAGACAGCCAGCAAGCGGAAGGATGAAGAAGCCTGGCCAACTCTGTCAAAAACAATAACTCATATGTACAGCAAACATGGAGCCTCATCATGCATAGTATCTCTAATCTTTACAACAGCCCTGTGGATACCGTGAGGTAGTGCAGCGGAGGAGGCACAGGATTTACACTTGGAAATGTGCTTGGCGTGTTATAAGGACTCAATGTATTATCCTAAGACATTTTACAGATAGAGAATTGAGACTCAGAATGGTTAAATAAATGACCCGAAGGTCATTAGATAAGTAAAGGATGAAAGCAAGATTGGAACCCAGGAATCTGACTCTTGGGTCCCTGCTCTTAGCCCCTGATCTAAGCGAGGCTTTGATGCTCACTCATCTCCCTTTGCAGCGTTTGCCCTCTGACCCAGACACCTAAGAAGCCCGTTCTGTGAATTATCTCAGTAGTGCTTTGCTGCCAACCAGCTGTCCATCAAACCATATGTGAGACCGATAGCCAGGATACTAAGAAAGGAGTGTTTTAAAGACTGAGAAGATGCTGGACAAATTATGTTCCGTTGAAAGTCCAGTGGGTGATGAACTGTCATTGAAAACTTCTTGCGCAAGAAAGAGGAGAGGGAGGGAAGGAGAGAGGAAGAGATGACTAGTAGAAATCATCTCTTATGACATTGCTGTCAAAAATGGCTGCCCTCTGCATATCCAGATGGGTAGTTTGGGTTCAGAGATGCACAGTTGGTGCAGCTGGGTCTCCTAAGTTGGTTGCAATGATTTCTTTTCAACAGCTTTGGGCAGACAGAGCTCAGGAACAAAATTACAGAGGAAAGAACATGAGAAATGGTTTGCGCCCAACTTTGGCTCTAACACCAATTATCCTAGGAAGTTAAATTCTGGCTCATTCTCCATTACCGTTTAGGTTCATTGGGTTTTTTTAGTTGTTGTTGAGAGCCACAGCCGAAGGGGCCCCACCAAACTTCCAGCAGCTGGAAGTTTGCTGGGGCCCCTTCGGCTGTGGCTCTCAACATCTCCCCCTCTCTGTTTAAACAAGAAAATTGTTAAGAAAATTGTTTTCTTTTAGTGCCTTCTGTAATGTTACATAATTTTTTCTTTAGCCATTATTGCCAGAATTCCTATCTTCATCCCAGTGCTGGTGAAGACAATGTAAATTGTTAAGAAAATTGTTTTCTTTTAGTGCCTTCTGTAATGTTACATAATTTTTTCTTTAGCCATTATTACCAGAATTCCTATCTTCATCCCAGTGCTGGTGAAGTCAAAGATAAAACGAATCTACAGCTTCTACAATAGCCATCACTGAACTGCTTGCAGAACTTGCCTGGACACATTGTGAGCTCACCTGTATGCATTGTGAACTATCTGTTGGTACAGCGACTTGTGGTAGTGTTGGGGTATTTTTGCTGATGATGTCATTGGTGGTACAATTTTTCCAAAAGGAGCCGTCAATTGGCTTGGTGTATCTTCCTTCCTTCTGCTTGTCATGATCGTCCAGCTAAAATTTGGGGGCCAACAGAGGTGAGGCAAAGAACCTCACCCCCCCACTGGTACAAAGACCTCTCCACAGGTGTGGCTGTATACTGGACCGGTAGTCAGTGACGGGTAAGATCCAATTGCAATGGTACCAACCTAAGGACCATATGTACTATTGGACAACCTAAGGCAGGCACGGTCCCTAAGCCACATGCTTGTTGTTTAAACAGAGAGGGGCAGATATTGAGAGCCACAGCCGAAGGGGCCCCAGCAAACTTCCAGCTGCCAGCAAACTTCCAGCTGCCGGCAGATGATTGGCTCACAGCAGCCCCAGCAACATCTAGCTGATTGGCTCCTCGGCCCCAGCAACATCTAGCTGATTGGCTCCTCTGCGGTGATGCTCATTGGGCTGTTTCCCTGCCCTTTCAGACCACGGAGCTGCTCATTGGGGGACTTTTTTGGCTCCACGCACGTGACCCAGCCAATTGGCCTCAAGAGCAGGAGGATTGGGGGAGGTGGAGAGAAGCTTGTGTGGGAGAGAGAGGCTTGTGGAAAGCCGGTGGTGGCAGCTGAGGCTCTGAGGGTTTTTCCTGAGAGGCTGTTTTGTTTGGCGTGTGTGGTTCTAAAAATAAAGTTAGTTTCTTTTGACAAGTGGCTCCTGATTGTGCCCAGCCAGACTGCGGCAAGTTGTATACAGCCATCTTCACTCTCTGTGAATACCAAGTAGCTTCTTTGTTAGGATTCTACATCTATGTCTAAGTCCCCACTTAATTTTCCACCCTGACCTCCCCTCACCACCCAGAAGCATCCCCATTACAATCACAAAAATCTAGTGCCCAGCCTGTGGAAAGTTCAGGAAGGAACTCTGAGAAGCAAAGCTTTCCGTCCTAAGGCAGCACCTGGGTTTACCTCACTGATCAGTCGGAGAGCATCAGACCGGTTTTCTACAACACAGAACATTTGCCTTGGATTTCAAGGAGCAGACACTTGATTGAAAAGATGATCAGTAAGTGACCCCCACCCCACACACAAAATTAAACAATGTGTTCAGGGACATTTTTAAAAAATGTGCTAATCCTTAGAATCTCACATCGGAAAAACTGGGGGAAGAGGAGAGTCAGAATGGCTGTGAGCAATCCAGAGGGATTTTTCCAGACGGTTGCAAGAGGATCAAGGGTCTTGGGAGGCTGGGGAGGCAACAGAGGCCATGGGTAAAGAGTGAGCCAACTTTCCTGCTCCCAGAAATAACGAGCCCCTGACCTTGGAGCTCCGCAGTCTTCACTGCTGCTGCCTGGTTTTTCCAGCACCGATCTTGAGGAACCCAGGAGTGGGTGGGACAGTCAAAGGGTGATCAATCCTGGCTCTATTCTCAGACAAGGGCTTGAGGTGAACTTCGAACCCTGGAGTGACCCAACAATCGCTACCTGTGATGCTATGATGAGCTCACAATGGAGCCTGCCCCTATCCCATCCGCTCAGTTCCTAGAGCTGCACAGAGGAACGAGGGGGAAAATTCACCTTCCCCGTCACATCAGTCGCCTACTTCTCAAGTTCACTACCAACACAAAGGGGTGAGTGGCATCAGGACAACTGGAAACGGCTGCTCTTTTTGCCCCTCCTGTCCTGACAGTGACCTGCGTGCAGCACCCCAGGCAGAGAGCAGGGTTGGGAGGGATTTGTTTGGTGACAGTTTCCTGTCCCTTGCAGTAGCAAGAAATTCACCTTGGAATAGAGAGCCTGAACAATTTTTAGAGTTCGGCCTCCCCCAGAGACCCGAACTTTTGGGGAAAAAAAAAAAGCTAAATTAGATACAAATTTTATTTTTTATTTTAGATTTATTTTTATTTTCTTTACAGGAACTCAAAGGCATACCAATTAGATCCGATTCAAAGTACTGTCAAAGATTGAAAAGCCCTATCCATATCCAGAAACTAAACTTTCCCTAGACAAACACCTAGCTAGCGGCAAACCCAACAGAGGAGGAAAGGAATTCCCCTCTGGAAATCACACTCTGTGGTTCTAACATTCATGTTTTTGAGAAATTAAACTTTCCTAATCCCTCTCCTTCTCTCTTCTCTTCCCTTATCCTAACTCACTGAGCGGAATCTGGGTGGAGGCCGGGGAGGGGGCCGATCTAGAGTGGCCATGGGGTTTGATTACCTTCCCTGGCTCAGTCTTCCAGAGAAGAAATTAATTTTCAAGATTTGGGCAGCTTAAGTAGGACACAGAATTGAAAGAAGAGTCTTGAATTCCAAAGTCCACTAGTGAACTTTCCATTTATCTCCCGAGGGATGGGGAAGTGGCCTTCCAGAAGTTCTTTAAAATCTTTGCTGTGCCAGGAAGACTTTAGAAGGACGATCAGACTTATGGATCCTTGAAATAATGGTTTAAGTGAATTCCCTAAAACACATGATACCAACTACGTGGAAATATAGTTCTCTTCATGGTACTGGGAACTGAACCCAGGGCACTTGACCACTGAGCTTGATCGCCAGCCCTTTTTTTTCTTTTTTCTTTTTTACATTTTGAGACCTGGTTTGCTAAGTTGCTGGAGCTGGGGGCTGTGGGTGTGTAACACTGCACCCACCCAGCTGGAAGTACAGTTCTCGTGGAGGTGGGGTGTGGCACATCTCAGCACCCCAGGTTAAGAACTCCCACTAGAGTCTCTGAAATGGAAACAGGATAAGAAAAAGCAATCCGAGTCTGCGACGAGGGTGAGGACAGCTCTTAAACGAGAGGTTCTAGAGCCCTGGCCCAGGCAGGAAGAGTCCTTCAGAACCAGGTGGGAGGAGGTGTACGGGAGCCGTGCCAGTCCTCTCCTGCCGACAACCTGTCTCGTGTTTCTTTGCAGGGCCTACCTACTCAAGAAACCATGTCGAATGATGATAAGCATAGATCTAGCGAACCCAAGTACTGCGATCCCAGGTGTGAACCAAAGTGTGAGTCCAAATGCCAGCCCAGCTGTCTAAAGAAGCTGCTGCAACGCTGCTCCGACAAGTGCCCGCGAGAAAAGTGCTCACCACCGCCAAAGTGCCCGTGCCCCCCGCCATGCCCCCCGCCATGTCCTCCGCCATGCCCCCCACCATGTCCTCCACCATGTCCTCCCAAGCCCTGTCCCAAGCCCTGCTCTCCCAAGTGCCCACCTCCTTGCCCACCTCCTTGCCCACCTCCTTGCCCACCTCCTTGCCCACCTCCTTGCCCACCTCCTTGCCCACCCTCAGACTGAAGCACTGTGGGCACCACTAACACCACCACCACCACCATCACTATGTGCAATGATCTGGGCTGGACCTGAAACCATGAAGTGATGACGTGACCAGTAAACTTGTTCCTCTGCTGCACAAGGTGTCTCGGTGTTTGGTGGACGTCAGTCTAGTTTGCTGCTGTTTTAAAGCACAGAGCTACCAAGAGGCAATCCCTGGGGAATGAGGCCAGAACCCCAGACCCTCCACTGCCATGCAACCTTCAAGGACCAGCCCCCTCTTTGTCCCTACCCATCTGTGCTTAGAGAGAGGCGCCTCTTCTGAAGGGTGTCCCCAGGGAACACCAGCCAAGAGTGGGAGAATCGTAGACATGGCAGAGGCTGGTAGAGAGTGTAACCCCAGGAAGCAAAAAAGAGAGGTATGAGGAGGAGAAAGGGGTGGGATGTTGGCAAAAGATCCAGGAAGGCTCAGGAAAAGACCTGGTACCACTTTTGCTATTGGTGGTCCCACTGCCTAGTGCAGGGATAACACTCATCACACCTGTACTTGACTTCTCTGTACTCCTCTTCTTGGTGAGGCTGTGAGTCTTCTGAGCACACTGGTCATGTTCTAATGCACCGCTGTGCACACACAAATAGACAGTCTTTAAAAAAAAAAAAGACAGAAAGAAAATGAGTTGTGTTAGTTGCCTAGATTTGGTACTGAACTATATTTACGTAACATGTCACTATGGAGAGAATTTTTCAGTGAAGGGTACATGGGACCTCTCTATTTGCAATTTTCTGTGAATCCATAATATTTCAAAATAAAAACTCAAATACAAAAAAAAAATAGCTTTGCATTTGGGTAGACCCCAATTAGGGATAAACAGGGAAGGCATTCACAGCCGCCATGTTAGTAGGGATCATTTACAAGGAGTTAAAGTCCATGCCAAACTGGCTTAATTCACAAAAGGGAATCTATTGGTCCATATTACCGAGAATGATATTGGAGGAGGACGTAGAATGAGAACTGCAGAAGCCAGGGCTGCAGGGCCTGGGTGAGTGGATTCACCCTGCCATTTCAGTCTCCCTCGTCCTCCTCAGGTGCTTCCCATTGTCTTCTAGTGCCCCCGTCCTATGGTAAGGTCCTCGACCAGCTGCAGACCCAACGTGTGGACAGGCCGAACACCAGGATGCTTTCCTCCAGGAAAGGAACCTGACCACCTAGAAGGTCATGAGCCCACCCATGACCAAGATAAAACCAGCCGTGAATCACTGCAGCCCACAGTATTTAACAGGAAAAAGGATTCTCTGCTGTCATAGTAAGAGGTCATGAAAGAGCCCGCTGGTTCTCCATGGAATCAAGGCACATCAACAGCTCTCCATGCTTCTGAGAAGAGTGGACACCTGCGAATGGTTCAGGACAGCACAGAGTGTGCCGGGGACAGATGGTCCAAACTGTGCCTAAGAAAAAGATACCAGGGACCTCTGCTGACCCAGGTCATGGAATCAGCTAGTTGCAGAAGACAATTTTAGCACAAGAAAGCTAGACAAGGTCTTCAGGATGCTGCCCCCTCGTTTTCTAGATGTGAAAACTAGTAGTCACTTTCACTACCATGAAGAGACCCTGGGCTTCAGGGTCTCCTGGCACAGATGGGGGCTGGACCCCCAGGTCCCCATACTCCAGAGCCACATGAAAAGGGCTGCTGGAGGTTGGGGACCTCTGGCTACCTGGGTTAGGGCACTGCAGGACTGTGGTCAACTGTTGATAATAACAGGAGGAAAACACACCTACCCCAAAGGAAATCAAAAAGAAGGAAAGAGGAAGGAGGGGAAGGGAGGAAATGGTAGAGGGGAGGAGGAAGGAGGAGGAAGAGAGAAGAGAATAATGTGACATCCTTTAGCACCTCTTAAATCGCTTTTAAATAATAATCCCAGCCCCCAGTGTCTAAAAAGCAGGCCACTGTTGAGTGGCATGTAAACAAATCCTTTTAGAAAACTCTCAGGCAGAGTGTGGCCCATGGCTGTAATCCCAGCAACTCAGGAGGCTGAGGCAGGAGGAGCTCAAGTTTAAGGTGAGCCTCTGCAATTTAGAGAGACCCTGTCTCAAAATAAAAAAAATAAAAAATAAAAGGACTGGAGCTGTGGCTCAGAGGCAAAGCACCTCTGGGCTCCATTCACAGTGCCAGAAGAAAAAAAAATCATTTAGGAAACAATTTGGCAAATATGGGAATGTATATTAAGAGCATACCACAATCCAGTCTTTGGTTCCCACTTCATTAAACCTAGGCAAACAAAATAATAATAATTTCAAAATGCAGGGGAACTATATTTAAAAAGGTGATCATCATCAAGTAACTTAGAAACAATTTAAATATCATGGTTTGATTACATAAACTTGGACCTGTTATTTAATAGAATATTTCATGGTTGTTAAAAATTTTCTAAAGAGAAAAAAGTAAGACCTCAACTGGACATACAGCATATAGCAATTATCTTTAGCCAGAACTTCTGTCAATAATAGCAACAAGGAAATTTGTGGGTGTTCTCATTATTGGAGGGTTGTAGGTTATGGATGACAAGTATTTTCACTTTCACTGATTCCTGGATTCTCATCAATGTGCTTTCATTTGTTTTGTAACATGGATACTTCAGAGGGGTCCCCCAGGAGTCCTGGAAAGACTTGGGGAAGAAGATCACCTAGAGAGCATGCACCCTGGGGAAGGGACCTCACCCTGGCTCCCTCCTTCCTGGCATAGGATCTCAGCCCCGGGCCTCCAGGGGGGTTCCCTGAGAACACGGGTCAGAGGCTGAGGCCTTCCGGGTCTGAGAACTCCGGGCACAGACTGGGAGGAAGCCAGTTCTAAGAACATGAAAGTGCTCCTTGCCAATGTCATTCTTATTTCTCTCTCCCGTGTCCATGAAACCAAAGATAGACATCTTCTAATGGCTACTTTCCCAGGAAAGAACCGGATCAAAGGCAATTCTGGGGAAGATGGCTAGAATGCGATGAGGGCTCCACCTCTCCACAGAATGCTGTAATTACTCCAAGCCCCAGCGGCGGTCACCAGGGCTCCGCCTCAAACAGTAGAGGTTGTGTAAATAAGCAACACCTGAAGAGTGACATCACCAGATCTGTGTAGCACCAACCGGATGGTGCCCAGATAACGAGGCAAGGCAGGACTAGGCTCCTCCTCGCGTGGCAAAGCAGTCGTGAGGGTCCAGCCAGACAGTCCCGAAAGGAGACACCACCATAGGATCCCCTGGACTGTACCTTCTCAAGAATCGGCAAGAATAGAGCTGTCCTTGATAAGAGGCCTTCCAGGCTTTTCCAAACCTGGACAGCTGGAGGCAACCGGCTTTGAGCTGAGCCAAGGCTCTCATAGGGCTGGGCACAGTGTCACGAGAATGTCTGGCTTTGAAGCTGAAAGAGACCTTAGTGGCATCTGAGAGGTCCACATGCGAATGGCACCTGGGGAGATGGCAAGATAGAGGTCATTATCACACCAGCCCCTAGTTTTCCTGCCCTGCTTCCACATGACCCAAGGTCCCAGCTCAGGGACACAAGCAAAGGCCCATTCTGGAAGACTTCACTGATAATCAGTCATACCTGCTTCTATGTCACAGCTGTTGGTGCTCAGCCAAAAAAAAAAAAAAAAAAATCGGTAAATATGGCAAAGCCATTTGCCAAACACAAAGATTCTTCAAGTCTCAGAAGGTTTGAACTGATGGTAAAATATAGGCCAGGATGTGTCTTCCAGATGTATGAAACCCACATCCTCCTCTCACCTCCTGAGCCATGTGCTCTCTCCTGGGCTCAAAGGGAATTCCACTCAGACAGAGGACCGGTGGCTTCTTCCAACAGGAATGCCCTCGTCGTCTCTCACCCACACCACTGGAAGCTCTTACCGGCTTTCAGTGCTCACCTTCCTCCAGCTCTAACTCCACTGAGTCCAACCAAGAAGCATTGCTAGGGCTCAAAACCAAGCACAACACTCCCCTCCTAAATTTTTAAGGAGGCCTCCTCCCCTTTGCCTACAGAGCACTTCAAATGACCTGACCCGGCCTACAAAAGTCTTCAGGCGAGGGCCCCAGCCTCCTTCCGCAGCCTTAGCTCACCACTTCCCCATCTCCTTCTAGAACTTGGCAGGCCAGGGGCAGGTTTCTGCTGACATTTCAGACCCACGGCAGAGTCTCTGGCCTTCCTGACTTTATATGTGCTTCTCCAATTCTTCCTCCACTGAGTCCTCCTCTAAATGATCCAGATGAGCAAATCCTCATCTTTTAACTCAATTCGGGGGTCCCTTGCTCCAAGAAGCTTCTCCGCCTCCCACCCCCAGGGCAGGCAAGAGGTCCCTTCCTGAGCCCTGACAGCATCCACACCTTCCTCCCTGGGATGCTTCTCATACCACGTTCTGGTCACCTGTTGATCATCTGACTCTCTCCCTAGACCTAACCTCTCCAAGATGACAGCCAGGCACAGGAAGCCGACAGTCAGTAACAGTAAATGAGTAGGTTCTCAGTGGCACTGGGGGGCACTTTCCCAAAAAGGGGTGAGTGGCCCTGGACTAAGCTTCTGTCCCCTGTGCTCCCCGACCTGACTACATGGTCATCCTCAGAATCTGGCAGTGGGAAGACAGGGGAAGGAACTGACTATGGGGGCCTGAGGCTGAAAGAAAGGCAGCCTAGTCTTGGTCCCAGTCCTGTCCTTGGCCACCTTCTCGTTAGGCCACAAGATGCTGGTCCTGCCTGGCCCTCTCCAGGGACGACCATGCAGGCTTCCCGGAGCCCTTTCTCCCCTGGGAAGGCAGCAGGGTGAAGGGAAAGAGCGTGACATCACACAGGTATCAAGTTAGCTCTGCACTGACCCACTGTGTAGCCCCGGAAAGTTGTTCAGCCTCAGTGAGAGGAAAGGTCTCAGCTTCTTCACCTGAAGGATGAGACAGAAGTTCCATCGAGGGACGAGAGTGGAGTGATCGTGTGAAAAAAAAATTATGCACGGGAAACTGAGCTTAGAACGCCAGGTGCCAATGGTACCTGAAAACCTGAGTCAACGCAGAGTCCTGCCCCGTCTACCTGAGCAAGAGCTTCTTGCCATCTGCTGTGCGAAGCCACAGGTTGGAGGAGGAGGGAATTCCAGGAAGGGGTGACAAATGTCTTTGAAGGCAAATAGAGAGCCCTTCCCTCTACTCCATCCCCAAGTTAGGCTCCTTGAGGAGCCAGAGGGAGACTTTTGCATCTCTGGATTATCAGAGCTGCATGTGGCATTTAGGACTCTCTGTGACCAAGGGAGGAAGCTAAGATCCAGAGAGGGAGACAACTAAGTCACCGGGGAGTTGGTTGTCAGAAGAGTCTAAGATTTCTAACCCAGATTTAAGATGATCAAAAGGGAAAAGAATGAAGTCCAACAGCAAACCTAAGCCATTTGGAAATATCATTTCGCCCCTTTGCCTGTCTCAGGGGCCCTTAACCTGGGGTCCCTGGTCCCCTGAAGGTGAAGACATGTACATATGTTTATCTTCTCATGTTCCCCAAACTGTTAGGAGCCACGGTTGGTCTGCATCCTTGATGTCTTTTTGAAACTTAAGACTCCCCAACTTAGCGATGCCCGTTGTCCAAACCAGACACGAGCTCTCGACAGGACCTTGAACGAGGCCTCAGCATTTGCGGTGATGGCTCGTTCTGTGCCTCTCGTATAAAGCACGTGCTGGGATTGCAACAAGGAGGTGGAATCAGGTGGCCTCTTATATCCCCCCTGGCCCCAGGAGCCTGTGACCCGCGGCTCTGACTCACACCCCTTGTGTAGGTGACACAAAGAGAAGGGAAGGGAGAGGAACAGTGGATTCTCGCCCAGGAATTCACAAGCTGGGTAAGCTCTCCAGAGGCACCTGCTCCCCGGGAGACAGGATCAGCGGCATTCTGTGCGGTTCGGCTTCATCAGCCCACTACCCTGTAATATGCAGCCAAGTGAATCAGAGGAGTCTGGGAACTTTTATGATCTCAACAAAGCAGATAGTTATTTGATGGGAACAGGGGGGAAAACAATGTCCTGCATACACCTGAGTCTATTCTGCTGACCCTAATTAGGCCCTGGCTCCCAGTAATGACAGCTTCAGTCTGAAATCTGAAATCTCAGATGGCATTAAATCAGATTATCCCAAATCTCCCTGGAGGGCTGGGGACAGCCAGAGAAACTAATTAGTCATCTTATCTTAAGATGTTGGGGGCAGGGCGATCTCCCCAAAGCTATTCAAGCCACAGCCCCGATACTGGGCCACTAAGATTGATTCTTGAGGGGCTTAAATCCCAAATACTCCCGTTCTGTACCTAGGAAAAGCCACCTGGCTGGGCCCCTGCTGCATACAGAGGATGAAAGACTGGGTCTTTCTGTGGGAACATTATAACCCCATCAAGGAGGAAGGGGCCATACACACACGCATCCACGTACAAAGTCACACAGATACCTGGGTTCGCCATTCATGACCACCTTGTAGTGTCACAGAACGTCACAGCTGGAATGGATCCTTCTAAAACTTTTGTATTTGAATAACAATAAAACTGCGGGTGTAGCTCAGTGGTAGAGCACTTGCCTACCTTGCACAAGGCCCTGGGTTTTATTCCTAGTACTAAAGGGGAAAGAAAATCCAGACCAGAGAGGATCAGGAGCTGGCAAGAGTTCATACATCTTACACCGATGGAGCCAGGTAATACACTGTCTCGGCATCACATTGATTAGAAAAGTACAAGTCAAAGACCAAATGTTGAAGTGACAGTAAAGGACATAGAACAAGGAGAACTGGGGCAATCAAGACAGACTTCACGGAGGAGGTGAGTCCTGAACCAATAAGACTGCACTAACATCCTGTATGTAGCTCTATGGCCTGAGTGTCAGTGTATATGTTCTCTAATTGATTGCTCACACAAAAATCTATGAAATGGTATTTTACCTTCTCCAAAGGAAGAAATCGAGGCTCTGGGAAGCTATATTCAGTATTACACATACTCTATGTAATAGAGCCAGTCCTGGGCCCAGAATTCAGTTATTTTTCAAGATGCCTGTGTCTCCTTTACCAAAAGCTAGCCTTTGACTGAGGGTACTGCTGTGACAATAGAAAGTCTACTTAACTGAGGGAATGCTAAGATGAGATTTCACTTGTTTACTGACTTCCCCCTTCAGAGTTCCCAAGAGCCTCAGACATTGAAGATGTATGTGTTCTTACTGCTGCTATAACAAGTTATCACAAAGGGAAGGGCTTGAAACAACAAGAAGGTACAGTATTATAGCTCTAGAGGTCAGAATGCTGCTCCGGCTTCTGGAGATCCATGCTGTCCTTCCATTTTCAAAGTCCGCAGTAGCCAGTCAAGTACGTCTTTCACATTGGACACTGACTCTTATGCCCCCTCTTTCCACTCTATTTTCCTTTTTGTTAATCAGCGCATCTCAGTTAGACATAGCTGTGGGATTCATTCTGACATATTTATAAATGCATATAACAGAATTTGCTTCGTTCCAGTCCCCAGTATGACCCCTTCCCTCTCCTCTTCCAATTCCCTTCCTCTATTCCACTAGTCTTCCTTCTATTAATTTTTTAACAGATGCATTATAGTTGTACATCAAAGTGGAATCTGTTGTGGTCTGCTCATTCCTGCACATAGCACAGTTTGGTCAGCCCCCTCCCACAGTTCCCCCCTTTCCCATCCCTCCTCCCTCTCCCTCGTTCCTCTTTCTTGACTCCCTGTTCTCCCTTCTGTCTTCCTGGGACACCCCCCCCCTTTTTTTTAATTCCTTATTTCCCTCTAGCTTCCTCATATAAGAGAAAATGTCGACCCCTTGGCTTTATAAACCTGGCTTCGTTCACTCAGCATGGTGTTCTCAGTTCCATCCACTCACCAGCAAGTAACACATTTCATTCTTCCTTATGTCCAAGTAAAACTCATTTTAAGGATCTTTGTGAGTACACTGGTCCCTCCTAGATAATCCAGGATAATCTCTCTATTTCAAGGTCATAACACATTCACAGATTCTAGGGACTAGTGTGCGGACAACTTTGGGAGGCCACTATTCTGCCTTCCACAGGACTTTTGGGGTCAATTTTAAGAATGTTCCATCATTAATCAATTCAATGCGAGGCAGGGAAGCCTTCTAGAGAAGTCACACTCTGGGTTTTATCTAACTGGATTCACCCCACGACCTGAGCACATGAGACCTGGTTGCTCCATTGTTCTGCTCATCACTCCTTCGCCTACTTTTCCTTGGGCTCAACCAAAGCCACAGAAGTGTATGTGGCACAGCAAGGTCATCTCTCTTATGCATCTGCTTCAGAAAATTCTGGAAATCCTAATCAGGCCTCCCCCCTCATCACCCATGCCTTTCCTAAGTCAGCCTCGGATTCTCGTTTCCTCTCACCTGGGCCTCGGTACTTCAACAGCCTCCTGACAAGACTCCTTCCTTCTTCGAGGCTGATTGGAATGCCCTTGTCCGCGGTCCTTGCCTAGGTGATTCCTACTGTCCAGTAAGACATAGCGCATATTTCTTCTCCTGAAGTCTTCCGGGACCTTCCACTCAAGATCAATGGGGGGTTTTCCTTCTGAGACGTGGGGACTGGCCTCTTCCTATCTTCTTCAGGAAACTGTGAACTGCTTAAAACCCAGGCCACGAATGACTGAAAGAATAAATTAATAAATTCAGTGGTAAAGAATCTCCTGCCCTCTAGGACCCAGGAGAGTTGCTCTGTGTCTTAAACCCCATTCCACAGAAAAGACAAAGGAGACAGCGAGGGAGAGAAAGAATAGGGGAAAACAGGAAAAGGATGGGAGGGAGGGAGAGAAAAGAGAAGAGCCTCTCCACCCTGTGCAGCACCCCGAGTCCCCAGCTGACCTTGGATCTTCAGATGGACCCACAGGAATTCCACATTCTTCCCCAGGCCTCTGTCTCCCACCGGGTCACCAAGCGCGGCCCATCAATCCTACCTGCACCAGTCCTAAAAGCCCAAAGTACCACTTGGTCTCCCCAGCTCACCTTTTAAGAACTTTTCAGTCATCACGCATCCCAAACCAATAAAAACGGTCAAAGGCACTCCTTATTTTACCTATTTCTTAGGAAACGACCTAAACCGACCTCTTTCAAGTTAAGGTTTTAATTGGACCTAAAGTTCATGGGAGGAGTGGAGCATCATCATTTATAAAGTCCCTGGGATTTGGTCAAAGTTAGCAAACACAAAGCCTCTACTTTGTGGACGAGGGGCGTCTTTCATTACTAATCTTTAACCATTTTCCATTAAAGGAGAACGTCCCCTATTCCCCACTGTCTCCCACACCCTCCCATTCCTTCATTAATGCTAACCACATCAGTACTCATCTGCCTTCCATCCTCTTCCACTGACTATACCCAGGGCATAGCTTCTACGCTCTGGAAACTTACAACCCAGGAAAATAATACGATCTTGCACACAAATAACCGGAATTCCTAATAGCGACAAAGCATGGCATAAAAATAGCACAAACACGAGATGCTCTAGGAGTTCGTGAAGACAGGAATTTATTTCTGGTTTACAGAAACCAGAAAAGGCTCTTGGGTGATGATAGACCCGAGTGGAACTTTCAGAATGCTCAGCGTTTCAGCAGACACAGGGAAGGACAGCACCTCGGGTGGACTCAACCAGGGCGTAGAGGTGGAGAAAACTGGGTGTGTTTGCTTTGAAACTTTTCCTTTTATCCCTTGGATTTTATTGACCTGAATTCCAAGAAAAAGCTTTCCAGAAAGTAAGGAGACAGACTGACCTTGTTCCAACCTGTCTTCTGGGTCACTATGAAAACTCCGTGAGCAACTCCACTTTCAGAAGTCTGTCATAAATCAAGGTTGAGAAGATGACGATGGCCTGCCCTCTCCCGCCTTTCTCATCCCCTCCACCCCACTTCCCAGCCCAAGAGCAACAAATCACTCCAACTTCCCTCAGGACCTTTATGCAGAAAAAGCACTCTATCCAGAAGACTGTCGGCCCCTGGTTTGCTTGGAACCACATGATGCTCCATCTTCTTTGGGTCTGGAAGAATAACTTTCCAGGCTCCATGAAGAGGCATCCAATGGATAGGCCATGTAATCCCCTGGCCCAGACAGACCCCGGGCCTTAGAAAAGTCTTCCCATTGGTGAAGATGAGATGAGCAAGGTGGATCTTATCTTTCACCACATCCGGAGCCAGTTTGGGCAGACCAAGAACTTCAACCCTGGTTTAACAGACTGAGATAACATTTGATGAACATTCTTTTCCTGCTGCCACTGATGGAAAAGATCTGAGAGGTGCCCCTCCCTGCTGAGGTCTGGTGAGGACCCAGAGGCCAAAATGCAGGCTGATTAACAGGCATCCCAAGCAGTGACTCAAACCGTTCGTGATTTCAGAGGAAGCTCGTTATGGTGACTCCACAATTAGGACCTCAACCCACGTGGCCTGTCGGTCCTGCAGGAAGCCAGACCAAGGACTATATAAACGTCCCCACCTTGCCTGGCTCTGCCATCCAGATCCTTGGTTGAGTCTCGTTGAAGACAGGTAAGTGGGGGTATCTGTGCGCTCTCTCTCTCTCTCTCTCTCTCTCTCTCTCTCCTCTCTCTCTCTCCCCTACTGCATCTTTGGGAAGCCCCTGTTCTGCTCCTCCCTTGCAGGGTATTTGCTTCTGATTTTTGAAGTGGTTTGCCATTTCTTGGGCTTCTCAAACCATTCTGTCTAGTCTCTTTCACCTGACTCCAAAAGGATCAGTCAAGTTGAATAGAAAGGTAAGTTCTATGGGGAGACTAGGGTTTCGGGGTATGACTATCCAAACAAAAGTCTGTTTCCAGCTCAGAGACAGGTGTCACAAGGAACTGAGACCGCGATAGAAGGAGAAATAAGGATTAATAATCATTCATTCCCCGTCACTGTCTCAACTTTTTATGCCTCTCCTGTTTCCGGTCTGGGACTTTTAATGCAGAGCATTTCAAAGCTGGTGTTTGTTTCAGGTCCTACAAATCACCCTAAAATGTCCTTCAGTGGCCAGCAGTGCAAGCAGCCGTGTGCACCCCCTCCGTGTCTGCAAAAGACCCAAGAGCGCTGCCAGGCCCAGGCTGAGGTGGTGTGCCTCCCCCCACGCCAGGACCCCTGCCAAGAGAAGTGCCCAGCACAAGCTCAGGAGGTGTGTCTTCCTCAGTGCCAGGAGTTAAGCCAAGGAAATTTCCCACAACAAGGCCAAGACCCATGCCTACCTCCATGCCAAGACCAGTGTCTGCCTCAGTGCGTGGAGCCGTGCCAGGAGCCTGCCCAGACGAAGTGTGTGGAGGTTTGCCCACAGAAGGTCCAGGAGAAGTGCTCATCCCCTGGCAAGGGGAAGTAGCTGCTCCTATGCCATCTGGGGCCAAGAAGATGGCCCACAGAAAAAAATCCAACCCCAGCCCCTGCTCTGGTGACCTTCTCCTGTGGGTGTCCCTGTGGGCAATGTACCCTCTGGTCTTCTGGCCTCCTCAGTATTCCAGGACTTGATCCCTGTCTCTGAAGACAGTTCTCTCCGTGTTTCATCAGCCTCCATGAATGAGTATTGTTCTCGGCCGTCGTGGAAGGTCTCAAATGTAGAAAAGGTGTAGTTAACAAGGGACACCACTGAAGCCAAGCACAGTCCTTTGAGCCAAAAATCCACCTAAACCTGGGCTTGTAATGACCAAGAACTCCTTCGTCTTCCACAGCGGCAGGCACTCATTCAAGCCTCAAAACCATCTGAACTTGACGGACTTTGCACTTATCATCACCACCACGACCATGGGTGTCCCGAAGAGGAGGTTGGTGGTGGTGCAGAGATCAAAAACTAAGTCATTTTGTCTCTGCATCCTGAGAGCCGTGATTGGACATTGCAATGTTGGGTGTGTTTTTAAAAAAAAAAATGAAACAAAAGTATGTAAACGATTGAGTCCAAATAGCCCAAAAAGAAATACAAATGGGATGTTTGGGTCCTTGCCAATCTTTGTGCTTCCTAGCAGGTCTGTTTGGGGCCCTTGATTTTCACCATGTACGCTCTTTACGGATGTGATTTGTGTCCCTCTGATATGAGCTGGTCTGCTCTCCAGCTTCCTTACCTTCTTCTCCCTGGTGAAGGTAACGTACATACAATAAAGCTGATCCTAAGTCTGACTCTGACTTGACACGTGCTCGTTCCTTTCTACCTCCCATCGCCTGATGTCCCTGTGGTCATCATTGTATTCCATTTGGGAGGGAAATCCAAGTGGGAATAAAAAGTAGACATCACAGGGACAACAAAAGGCCTTCCTCCAGGTGCCTGGCCACCCCACAGAGCCTTCCTCCAGGTGCCTGACCACCCCACCAGAGCCTTCCTCCAGGTGCCTGACCACCCCACAGAGCCTTCCTCCAGGTCCATGGCCACCCCACAGAGCCTTCCTCCAGGTCCCTGACCACTTCACAGAGCCTTCCTCCAGGTGCCTGACCACCCCACCAGAGCCTTCCACCAGGTCCCTGGCCACCCCACAGAGCCTTCCTCCAGGTCCCTGACCACCCCACAGAGCCTTCCTCCAGGTGCCTGACCACCCCACAGAGCCTTCCTCCAGGTGCCTGACCACCCCACAGAGCCTTCCTCCAGGTCCCTGACCACCCCACAGAGCCTTCCTCCAGGTCCCTGACCACCCCACAGAGCCTTCCTCCAGGTCCCTGACCACCCACTCACCTCCTCTTCAAGGCTCACCCATGAGGAAGCTCAGCATGAGGCTGGGACCAGCCACCCTCAACCCAGACCCAGGGTTACTTCCTCTACAACATCCTCCCTCTCTGAGTCTTGATTTTCGGAGAAAAGGGCTGACATGGGGAGGAGGGAAATGGCGGGAAAGAGGCATCCCCAATCCACCCACACACCTACACGCACAGCATCAGTGTGAGAGGGAAGAACTAAACATGCCTCTGGGGAGAACAGGCTTGAGGACCAAAGTAGTCTGCCCTGCCATCTGGCCAGCTTTCAGAAAAGCCAGACAGCCTAGGTCACCTGGCTGTACCCTGTCACTCTTCTGCCTGGGGAGGAAGCATAGGCTGCGACCTCGGGTTGTGCGAAAGGGCTGAGAAGTTCAGGCCTGACCTGAAAGAGCCAAACATCTGCCTCCTCAGCAGTGTCCAGAGGTGTGACCTGGGCCCAGAGGAAGGGCCAGGTCAAGGGCCAGCCTCCTGAGGGGTGAAGGGGCCCTCCTGATCCATCCCCTGGCCACACTCCCTACCCAGTCCATGTGAGGAGAAACCGCAGGTCAGCCTCTCCCTGAAGGCTCCTGAAGCCCACGTCTCAGACGTTTGGCTGAACTGAGGACCTTTCAGCTCTGAGTCAGACTGGCCTCCCCATCTTAGAGATCATTCTGGAATAAGATAGAACCGTGGCATTCTTTGGGGGAAGATTTCAAAAGGCAACACGGAGCATCCCACACTCCCTGAGTCTGCGGGTGGCCGGGCCAGGCCCTGAGCTCTGGGGACATCCTCTAAGGGAATCCTAACAGCGGCTTCAGGGAGTTCCGCTGGTCTGGTTCAGGGGTTTGACTGGCCTCATAAAGCCAGGGAGTGATGAAACCACGTTCTATGACTCCTCCGCAGAGCCCTTCCTTGCCTGACAAAAGTGCCCATGACACACAGAAGAGATTCACAGTAACTGTCTCCTCATTGGCTCATTCTTCCACCCAACAAGTTCCCTGATCACTCGCCAAATGCCAGGCACGGTTCCAGGTGCTGGAGATGGTGAACCAGGTGGCCAGCATCCCTGTGCAGAGCCAAAAGCTCTATTTTCTGCAGGCCACACCTTTCCTCAAATCTCCGGGATATCTCAAATCCCTGAGTCGTTCTTCTCTGGCCTCCCTGGCTGGTGGGAATTGGTTTTTCCATTCATTTTCCAACCTCCGAATAAGCCTGTTGCTCTCCAGGACCTAGCTGCTCCCAAGGTCCAGCTACTCCTCGGGGCCCAGCTACTCCACAGGATCAAGACCTGCAGAAAGACTCTCCTCTCAGTGAAGCTTCTGATTGGGCTAAGGGAGGCTCATAGACCCAGTCTCTAGCTTAGCTCAAGCCCAAAAAATGTCTTTGTTCTCTGACACTAAAGACAGATTGGAGCCCAAGATCACACAACCACAGTGGAGAGAAGTGTAGCCTGATGGGCAGGGAGAATCTAGCCGTATCAGATAGAGGGGCAACCTGGTGATTACGGAGGAGGCCTCAGCAGATGGAAGGGGACGGGCCTGCTGATGGCAGATAGGAGAACAGACTCCAAGCAGCCAGCTGTCCTGGGAACTCCCCCACCTCCCTGCGCTCACAGAGCTCTGACCCAGCCCCTGCCCAGACTACTGCTGCAGGGGTCTGGACCCTAATGACATAGACTCAGACCACAGCTACAAAGTCCAGAGGCCACAGGTGACAGCTGGAGCCCTTAAGGGGGAAGGAGCATTACCAGGAGAGTCCCAGATGTCAAAGGTTCTAGTTGACAGTTGATCCAGTAGGTGATCAATAGCGGACCGTGGGCTCCGCATACCAAGAGAGAGAAATACAGACGGACACAAGTTCAAAAGAGGGCGACATGGATTCACCCATCCATTCAGCAGGTATCTATGAAGAACCCCCTGGGCCACAGCACCCTGCCCCCTCTAGAGCCCCGTGACAGCATGGGAGGGGCAGACAAGTAGCACAATGGCCTGAAAGATCTTCATCTCAGAAACTGCTGAAATATATCTAGTCTGAAGAAGAAAATATCCTAGGGAGCATGAGAGTTGTCCTCAAATATTTCTAGTGCCTTTTATTTCTGTGACATGCTAAAGGACAATGTTTTGGTCAGCTGTTTCACTTCTGTGACTAAGAGACCTGACCAGAACAATTGTAGAGGAGGGAAAGTGTATTTGAGGGC